TAAGTTTTGACTTGGATGGAGAGTTGTCTCATTGGCACTCATACCACATCTTCTTATATCTACATAATAAATTTTCAAAATCATCATCAGAATATGACAGAGTATTATCGCCACCATAGTTATAAAGCGTTCCATGTTAAAAAAAAAAAATATGTCATTGATAAAAAAAAATCAAATAATAAAGGTCCTAGGATTAAACCTTGGGTACACCTTTCTGGATGTCAGCCCAACTTCATACTGCGTATTCCCTGACGTTTGATTTGTTGATTACGACCGGTAAGATAATTTAGAACACAGTTCATCTGATTTTGAAGAAGAGGTTACTTAAAAGAATGTCACGTTGTAGAAGTTAAAAGTTTTCGAAGGTCCGCAACTTGAGTATTATTGCCACATACTTGATTTTTTTTTATCCAAAGCTATTTTTCAATCTTCGAGGAGTCTCAGCAGATTTGTCTGACATCTGCGACCTTTCTTAAATGCACATACAAAGCATGATTGGTTAGAAAGTTTGGCCCATCCCCTACCTGTAGAATTCTTATGAAAAAAACGGTATATCACATCCTATTTTTTACGCTGTAGTTCTTTTAATCAAAGTGGATCATTCTTTTTATCATGTAGTGGTACGACATGAAATTTATTGATTCTATCAGAGACTATTATCAATATATTAGTCCCAGCTTCTATTGTGGTACTTATAAGTGTTATGATATGTTTGTATAGTACCGGTGCGTGACCAGCTCATAATAGCTTAGATGAATGTTATCTACTCCAGTAGCTATTTTTGTTCGTCAGTTAAACTTGTCTACAAGTTGCGGTCAAAAAGTTACATCAAAAAGCCTGATATAAAACCAAGAAGTGTTACATGTTTATTAGCTTTAATTTGCAACATACTAGGGTGGATTCATCAGGGTGACTGAAGGTAAACCTTTTTACAACGTTGTCCACGGGTCGATTACCTATGTCCGGAATATGTATGCTGCACGAGACATGAGACTAAATTCGGTACTATTAGAGCATGTTTCACTCCCCATTCTTTCATGGTACATTGACAAGAAGCTGTTAATACAAAGTTCAACGAAAAGTATGTAACAAGAAACTTTGTTGTTAACTTAGGGAAATATATGGAAAAAGGAGTATAAAAGCTAGTGTGTGTGTGGTGGGGGAGGAGGGGTCGGGTCGTTGAAGGGTCTCTCAATATATGATTTTGGGTACTGACACTCACTTCTGACGTGTATTTATTTTAAGGTTCATCTAGACACTTGAACAAAAATGTCTGTGTTTACACCATGAAATTTTCTCTGAATGCAGACAAAACTGTGTAATTCTAATAGTTTTAAATCACAATCTGTAACGTCACAGTACCCAAATTGCACCTATTCAGCAAAAATAGCAGCGAAAATCTTACAAGTTTTCTTTGAGACTAAACAATTTGTATTTTTATGAGTTGACATTATACACATCTTTCAACATAGGTAAATATATTTAAATATACACAAAATGTTCACAGTATATATCAACAGATGAAGTATTTACTGGAAAAAGTAAAATCTACGGAAACGTCGCCATGCGACGTCCACAAAAAGTCATCTTTTAAAAATGGGCAAATAAAAATATGTTACAAGCATCTATTTCTTAAAAAATGAATATTAAGCATGGACTAATGTCAAATTTTTCTAAATATTTGAAGAAATAAAACAAATCATCTGTAATATTCGATTTTTAAGGATGTGAATTTAAGCATGGATGCAATTTGGGTACTCATTACTGACTCATGGGTCGTTTGGAGGTTGGACTAACCCATTTTTCTATGATTCAATATGGTTTCAAAATTAAATTGGTGTACCTATATAGTTGATAAGGATACATCTACAAAATAAACACAGAATGGAAACTTTTGTCTGGATCATAAATAAACGTAGGTGAAAAAACTGTCAAAATAGGTACAATTTGTGTACCCTCACGTTATATACATAAACACTTAAATAGTTATGTATTTATTATAAATTTGTACAAATTTTTGCCAAGCATGCATGCGCAGCAACATGTATTCTTAAGTTGCCTTGTTGGCCCAAAGAAGAAGCAGCTGGGTTTTAGAAAAAAACATCCCCTGGACTTTGTGATAACTATGTCAAATCATAACTCTCATATCATGCATGCAATATGTAACAACTTTTAACAGATTTAAAAGAAATGCTTTACTCTTATCAACAAAAGTCCTACCTAATAAATCTAAAAGTTAGAATGACAGTCATGTCAGTGAAACCAAGGTTGTTGCAAGATTAAATTAGAATGACATTGAAATCAGTATTGTTGATAGATTTTATTAAGTGAAACCAGTGCCTACTGCTACCTAAAATTATAATGACAGTTAAACAATTTCCTGATGATTATAAGCTAAAATCAGAAGGGCATGAAACAGGTGCTTGCTCCTAGCTATAATAAGATGGCAGTGATACAAGTACTAGTGCTTGTTGATTTAAAAAGCAAATGACTTTAAAACTTGTGCTCTTTACACTAGCTGAAAATATAAATGACAGCTAAAAGCAGGTTGACAGTGAAATGGGTGGGTTGTTGGGATGGATAAATATGTGAGCTTTGTTAAATCAATTTACTTAACTCAGTCAAAACTTATTATAACTTATTTAGGATTTCCCAAGTGGAGGGTGTTAGAAATAATAATATACCAAGAATGTACTGTGAATGTGTCACATCATTTTAATGGATTTATTTTCAAATTATTTAGAAAATGAAGTCATTAAGAGAGTATTTCTTGCAGCTAAACTCGTGAGCATTTAAATTAAACAAAAATATCAGGTGTCAAAATTTAAATTTATTTTGCATAATCCTATTTCAAATTTATTAAATTTGAAATTTTTATAAATAACATGAAGATTGTAATTTCACACTAGATTGGGTGTATATTGTGTAATAACTGTTACATACATTCTCTGTACAAACGATGACTTTGAAATTCATCTAGCCGTGAAAATTTATGAAATCTGAAGTCTATTATAAGATCTGATACAGGGAAAGAAACAAGTTCTTACTTTTAACAATAACCTGAAGAAGTGCAATGAATAAAAGAAGGAACTTAATAAAAACACCAAAAACCATGTAAGTGTTTTAATAACATGTAAACTGATTGAACGAGGTTGTTGGAACTACTGGTAGCCAGTTTGAAGTGGTTTTTGTCTTGCCTGTGACAAATATTCAAAAATGGATATTGATGTGAATCTGGCTGTTGCTTCAACTGCAGGCACTTTGTATACTGTAAACTCAGAAATGAATGCATGCATTTATTATTGTAATCCTTGACCTCTGGCAAAAATTTGAAATCTTACTAATTCGATTGCAAAACTTTTATTAAGGAAAATCACTACGGAAATTATGAATGTAAGTTTTTATTATTACACACCTGATACTGTTGTATGTTTTGTATTAATAAAAACTTCGCAATAATTTCTGAATTGACTGTACTTTATGTTCAAAGTTTTATATTTCAGAATTTAGAAGAGTTGTATATATCTTTATTACCAAAGTCTAGATAAACTATATAGGTACACATTTGAATTACATCAATAATACATACAATACATACATAAACACAAACTATGTGACAGAATAGCAGAAGGTGTTGTAGTAATATATAAACATTATGTTAATGCTGAATACTCCATATCTTGTTTACAGATGCAATCATTGCATGGTCTGAAAGTTCAATCAGGCATGAGTCCATTATACTTTTATAAAAAAAAATAAATCTTTAAACGATTAAAAAGTTGATCTTGAATTGATGACTTCTTTTATAGATAAATCAAGAGGGGGTGAGGCTTACAATTGGGACTACTGTATTTAGGAGACCTTACATGAACTTAAATGGACTGTGCTGATGGTAAAATGGAGTCTGATGAAAAGTCAGATTTGTCCCACCTATCTTCCAGACATTGATTTATTGATGGAAAAAAAACTCTTAGGTTTGTACAAATTTATATTGTTGAGATGACATGAAATTGAATTAACTATGAATAAAAGGAGGTGTGGGTTATGCGTCAATGAGACAGCTACCCATCAACACAAATAACAAAAAGACATCTGAATTAAATTCACCAGATGATTTAACAGTTTGATTTGTTTCCGATTCATCATTATTTACATTATGTATTGTAATGAATATCAACAAAAGGTTACATCTTCTAAGTGGACAGATACTTATAATTGCTATTAAGATTTGTAAGAGGTTAGAAGGTCTTTTTGGGGATTATCTATGGATATCTTATATGACTATTCAGGAGGCTTTAATTAGTAGTTTAGAGTTTTGTATACTGTTCTTTGTCTTTTTATCGATTTTCTTTTTTTGTCATAGCATTGTCAAGTTAAATTCTGTGATTTCAAGCATTCTTTATTATTTTGACTTCCGAAAAGTTTAGACTAAATGCGTTGTTCTGGTGTAAGTATTGTGTTGGGTTGTTGACTCATTGACTCATTGATGCATTCCCCACATCTCCTTTTTTGCATAAAAAAAGAAAAAAATTCTTCATTTATTATTCCAATTTTCAGAACTTAGGTATTACTTATTAACTGTGGTTATTTTCAAATTTGAGGGCCAATGTTTGTTCTTCCATACACTTGTCCTTTAACATAAATATATACAAGACACCATCCTGGACAGAGACAAGTAACTGCTAACATTTTGGTCTTTTTATTTTGTTTTGCAATTAAATTGTGATTAAACATGGATTAGTGTCTCAGGTGTTTCTCAGGTTAATGAAATGTCAAAAGGACAATTTGATAATTAGTGATAGTAATTCTCTTAAAAATTATCAGTTTTCACAAGTCCAACTTTGTCTTTTAGATCACATAACTTAATTTGTTCAATTTGTAATTTAATTATAACAATGAAGTTGATTAATCTATATTGACATGCTCAGGTAAAGATATGTATTGTTCATATGGTTCAGGTAAGATGTCATGGTTCAGTGACCACCAGGTAAATACTATAGTATTGATTGGGGTGAGGGGTAGACTACTGGGTGTTTTAATCTCTTCACTACTGGATGTGTATCTCATTTGGTGAGAAAAACTAGGAATTTCTGCAGTTTCATCTCCTGGAAATTATTTGTTTGGAATATTAACTGGTGGATGTATAGTTTATGAGTTGACTTTTTTAAAAACAACAAACTTTTTTTCGAGGATTGTTTTTTAAATGGGAGAAAAGTGATTAATTTGTCCAGGTGGAATACACGATCCGGGTAGGTACATTAAGTAGTTATACCAATACACATGTCTATAATCTTACCAATGTACATTTCTTTGATGTTATAAATTGAATATTTAAACAGATCCTTTTTCTTAATCTCCTGAAGTTCAATTTTAATTGTTGAAGTTGTGATTCACTTAGTTACAGCATGATAAAATGGACATTTTATATCTTACTATTGAAAACTTTGACAATAGAGAAATGTGGAATGATTGACAGGGTCGTTCATTTTCTTGTCTTGGGTTGTTTGAAATGAATATCAAATAATTTATTCTTAGCCTGTTGTCAGGAACATAAATTATTTTTTTAATAAAAAATGGAATTCAATCCATCACAATATATATATAATATACAACTTAAACATATCATTATGAGCGCACATAAATATTCATGTTTACTAAATTGATAGATGATAAAACTAATTGGAGCAATTTTGAAAATCAAACTAAACATGGTTAAGTTTAATATGATAACATAAAGATTTTAACATGTTTGGAATTCTTTACTGAAACAATGGAAGTCTCGTCTTCTGTTAGAGGTTTTATTTTGTCCTGGAATGGATATTTTATTTTGACATGTTTTTTAACGCAGATATTTTACTTTAAAGTTTCTAAAACAAATATCTTGTTAGTAGAATTCTATGATCATTAAAGAAGGCAGAAACCGTTCACTTTCATATGGGCCTGTTAGTTTTTTTAAGAAACTGAAAACAAAACTACAATTCTTTGAGAAATATGAGGCATCAATAGTTTACTTATAGTCTTTAAGAAAACTTACTGCAAATTTTATACAAGGAAACAATAGTTTTGCTTTACAGGTGTACTTTGAGAAACTTTTTTGCACAAATATATCAATCTACATAGGATAATGTTACCCTTCGTCTATTTTGGATGGAGGGTTATGTTGTTGTATCTGGATTAATCCCTTATCTGAGGTACTTCCCCTAAATGTATTAGTTCTCTGCAACCAACTTAAACCAAAAAGATGTTTTGAATTTTGAAATTTAAGACAGTCTGTTTGATAAGTATAAAAATATTGTATTACTGAAGTTGATACATAATATAAGAATTTATATACATTATATTAATACGTGTATTATTCAATAAATTTATGAAATATCATTGAGGTTGTAACATTTGTTGCAATTCTACCAAAAAATCAATTTCATTTTTCATAATATTTTGAAACATTAGCTTTTACTGTATAAATAATAGATAGATATGAAATTAATGCATTCATATTGATAAGTGATATATTGCCCTTAAAATAAAAATTTATTTAGTGCAAGATGTTACTGTTTTGGGTGTGTCATGCAGAGTGGTGTGGGAGGAAAGAGATTCAATGTTCAATTGATTCCTTGGTAATTCTCAGTAAGAATGAGTACACATCAAGGGTGATTTTTGTGGTTTCAGTGATTTTTTAAATGTCCTCTTGGTATCATTGTAGATGTGTCTATTTTAGTGATGTTCTTATAATATGTTATAATCCAAAATTGGTCAATTGGCAATTGGGGCAATCCAAATATGTAATTGATTGTGCAATTTTATAGTCGATATCACTTATAGATAAACCCATTGAAAGGCTTTGGAGGTCCCTAATAAAAGGTTGCAGTGTATAAGTAGAATGGATGCAAATATGTTGCTTTTCTTTTCAATTGTAAATTTGTATCATATTGAGACTGTCCTACATGTTACAGTTGGCTCTTTAAAAACACAACCTATTATGAAGGTCATAGTCTGTTGGTTTGCCTAAGTAACAAATCATAACCAATGGTTAAATTGCATTTTTTACAAATTGAATTCTAAACAACATATATATCACTGAAATGAAAAAAAAAATGTTTTATTTGTTTAAAATTGAAAATTTCCATAATAAGTTATAGCAGTTTTTAATTTTGAGACATAAGTACTAATAATAATATGTCTAACTCACATTGATCACTTCAAATTCAGTGAAACCGATTGTTAATGTCTGCAGGAAAGGTTACTTTGAAGTCGATTTAATTTTTTCTAATGAATTAGCGATTCAGCATATTCATCATACCTATAAAAATAAGAAGATGTGGTATTATTTCCAATGAGACAACTCTCCACAAGAGACCAAATGATACATAAAATAACAACTATAGGTCACCATACGGCCTTCAACAATGAGCAAAACCCATACTGCATAGTCAGTTGTTTACTTACAATAAATATCACCTAGATTTACATTTGCAATAACAAAATGTCAGAAAAACTCATTTGAAACTTTATGATTGCTTAACATTTAGTTCATAAACCAAATGGGAATTTTAAATGCACAGTAAGCTAAGCAAATTTTATCATCTAATGCAATTTATTTCTTCATTAAATTGCTTATGTTAAAAAAATGTTACAAAAATATTCTCCTGGGGAATGAAGATAATTGTTTGAATATAAAAATATAATTTCCTGGTTCAGTGAAGTTTGATTGGATGTTGATTAATAATGAAAAACTCTCTATATTTACATATATAATATCTATACTAGTGTCTTTATCCTTCTACAAATAGATATTTATACAAGGAAAAGATAAGAAGTATTGATATGATATAATTATGTTGTAACAATAATAATTGAATTTTAAGAAAAAGGGTCAGTATAAAATAAGGAGATGTGGTATGATTGCCAATGAGACAACTATCCTCCAAAATGAAGTGGATGTAAGCAATTATAGGAAACCGTACAGCATTCAGGTTTGGCCATTTTGATATGTTTTTGTTCACTCATGGAGAGGGTACCAGACATACATGGTGAGTCATAGTGCAATCTAACAATCACAGAGTCTAATGGATATATACTTATCATACAAATCATATACTTAAAAAATTTTTAAACATTTTTAAAAATTTCCATAAAATCTTAATGTTATTCAACCCTGTACATTGTTGTTGAATACTAGTTTTTGTAAGATATTGAAAGGTTTACAAGCTTTTGTGATGATTTACAGTTTCATCAACAAATCTAGAATCAAAGGCATTTAACTTAATGACTTTTTTCTGAAAGTCAGAACATAGTTTTAATTTTTATTTATTTTTTTGGTATTGAATATATTATCTATTTGTTTCTAGGACGATACTCAAAATTGTCAAATCTATCGGGTACATGTATTAGAAATGCATTTTTTGCCATCTAAAGATATATTTATTACTAGATGACTGACTAATGCCCAGATCATTATAAGTATTTATATTATGATAAAATGTTTACGAAAATGAATTGATGTTGCCATAACATCAGACAGAGAGTTCACAGTTTTAGTAAAGATTAAAAGACCAGTGGGGGAACCAGAAATTTTCAGAGGGGGCCCACTGACTGCCTAAGAGGGGGCCCACTGACTGCCTAAGAGGGGGCCTGCTCCAGACATGCTTCAGTGATTCCCTATATAATCAACCAAATTTTTCCCACAAAAGGAGGGGCCCGGGCCCCCTGGACCCCCTAAATCCATCTCTGAAGACTGTTTGAAAAATCGCACAGAGGATGGTGTGATACCTGAGAAATTGGACCTACTTGGCTTTGACATAACCATGGATGGGTCTTATGAGTAACAACTTTTCAACTTGAAGGAAATATTGTAGAACACACAGATACTAACAGCAAAAGTGACTGCTATTCTAAGAATTTTATAAATAAATGATACTCAATTAGCATTGAGAATTCTCTTTTGCTGCTTTTCACTTCAAAAGTTAAAAAGGAAGTTTAAGTTCTCAAATATATATTTATATATATATATATAGATATTTGTGATGGACATGCAGTAAAGTATTTTTTTTCTTAGCATAAGTGAAATATTCCTCAAGTTTCAGCTTTAGCTTGTCCAAATGTTTTGTATGGGTACAAAAATATAAGTGAAATGAATTGTTTTATTATCTCCCTTTAAGGGAGTTATGAAATACCAACAAACTGCTGTCATGTAGACAAGAAAAAAAAACAAAGACCAGTTAATCCTCAAAGGAGTTTGTCTTTTTATCTTGTCATAAAAGTTGTCATAATTTATCAGAATTAAGACAATCCAACATTGGCTTTAGGGGGGACAACAAAGAAATTTGAAGGGTGTATGAATTACAAACCAGTTATTAGTCAACATACAGCTATCAAATTTGTTATCATGTAGAATCTTATGTTTTAAAACACATATCCTCTAATTTTGACAATGACCAAAGGACATGTAAGATTGTTTTTGATTAGGATTGCCAAATTTTTCTTGTTTTTAGTGATTTTTTGGTTTAGTAGATTTATCTTAAGTTTTACAGGTTTTAACAGGTAGCTTCTGGATATATATGTAGATAGTAATAAAACAATTTAACTAATGTCAAATAGAATAAGAATATATATGGGAATAGCATGAGCAAGAAGAGATAAGTTTTTACAAAATGGATAATGACAGAGAATTCTTAAAACTTTTTAGCCCCCTAAAAAAATGAGAATGAAAGAGTACACTGACTATAGGCTATGGACAAAATCTTCTTTTTTTCTTTCTTTTTTTTGGATCACTTTAAAAAGCCCTCTCAAGAATTAGCCTTCTCCTATGCTACTGCAGCAGATTGAATATACTTGTCATTTTGATCAGCATCCTTAGCATGGTGACTTAATACTGATTGACCAGATGCCTAGATCACTCAATACCTCCAATATAATACAATGCACATGATTTTCCAATTGCTGCATTTTCTTAGAAAATTTGATATCACAAGGCAAATATCTTTACGTCACAATGCCCTATGATCCGTTTTGTAACAAATGGCCCAAGGTTGACCGAGGCAGTTCATTCATAAGACGAAATTGGAACCTTGTTTATTATGATATATCAAAAATGGGATTTTTAATAAATTAGATTTGACCTGGAACTTTGATAAGGTCATGTTGTATGGTCTTGTGTTCTAGAGCATGTCAGAGCCAATCCTAAGGCTAAGTATATTATGTAAAAGGGATTAGTGACACCTATATGTAGGTACCATTTAAAATAAGGAAT